TGAAAGTTAATATATGTTCCATAAAAATCCCAATTACAGCTGAATACTATATAATACACAGATTAATATTTGTAACGGAATTGTCGTGAGAAGTCGTTAGATGTTCTCATTTTGGCTGTCGACAGGCAAAGAGCAAGCTACCTGCATCTATTTATATACCATTGCTAATTCTACTTCTAATTTTACAGTCAGACAATTTTATATACGTATCTACACATTTATATATAGCTGGCGAGAAGGTTAATATTATTACACACACGTCTGAAGTGTATTCTGATTAATGTTTTTTTTTTTTGTAATTAAAATTGTTTTAAAGACGTTTCTAGATGTTTTGTTAATGCAATGTTAAAATTGGAATGGACATATTTGAAGCGTTTTGGAGACCACAGATTAAAAATCGTAGCTATTAAATACTTTTTTATTCATGTATGTTAGATTGGTAATATATTATGGAGTTAGGTATTATGCAATTCCGTAATGTACAGACACGTAACCAAAATGTCAAAATTATTTTTTACAACTTAACGATTAAATGATACTTTTGGAATGACAAAATCAAAGTAAATCTTTGTAATAAACAAAAAATAGGTACTTTTTTAATGTCAAAATAGAATGTCTGTCTGTCTGTTCGTTAGTGCCGCTAGGTGCTCATTCGGAAGTGTAGATTCGAATTGAAAAGAACGAGTAAGAAACTCTATCGTTACTCTTTTAGTGTTTAAACCGTATTAATTAAATATTTTTGGATGTAGTTCATAATCTTTCAAATCCTTCAAACTAATATTATAAATGGGAAAGTAGCTTTGTATGTCTGTCTGTCTTTTCTTCACGCCTAAACTACTGAACCTATTTGTGTGAAATATGGTACAGACATAGTTTGGAACTCGATAAAGGACATAGGATAGTATTTAAACCAAAAAATCTGCAGGAAGTCACTATTTCACGCGAAAAAAGTAGCGGGCAAAAGGTAGTAGGTAATAAATGGAAATGATTTTTAAGCGACTATTCGACAAGTTACGCTAGTTATTCGGTCCACGTTTCAACGTAAAGTTTTAGAACATATGTGCTGAGTTGCTGACTTCAAATAATATTCTTGTCACGAACTTCGGTAGCTTGGACCTCTGATCTTTTACTTTTTTGACCCACTTTTTGGGACCTTGCCTTTATTACGAGACTTATTACAGCAAATATTCGAGATCGGAGTGTTTTTGCGGTTAGTTTTAAGATTGGTGACCTTTTTTGACATCTTTTTCTTTGTGTACACTACTGAGTACCAAGTGGGTTGGTTTTTGTGTTAAAGTCCTGAGTATACAGGGGTGTACAGAAATGTAAAGCTGTTGAATTAAACTAATGAAACCGGAGTGATACCACGGTCTCATAGAAAACTGCATAAAACCTGGCTTGCCTTTAATTTCACTGCTTGTAAGAGGTTACTGGAGGCCCAATCCTACCTCTTATCGCCAAATAACTAATCACCAATGGGCTAGCAATTGTGACTCATCGACATTACGGTTGTCCATTGTTTTTGCGTACCATCGGCGATAGAGTGTTTATGTTGAGAAAAACTACAGAACTCTCTTTGATTCTTGACTTATACCTAGTTCTACAATCATCTTTTTTTGTCTGCAGTTATCATAACAAAATAATGATAATAATATCCAAAAGTTTAGCGAACCTTTTGTTGTGAATCTTCTGGTATTATGAGTGTCTATGGTTTTTTTTGTGAGCGGAAAATCATCAAATGCCTTCTCCCGCCCAGGGCCTGGCGGGAGGGAGGGAGTGTCAGACTCTTACTGACTAAAAACCCCCGTTCCTTCTCCTGCTCTGGGCCGAGGTCACAGTGCCCATCTGAACATCAGCCCAATAGTGCCCCGTCTGTGGTGGTCTTTTGGCTCTTTGAGGCGCGCGCGGAGGTGTCTATGGGTGGCATTGATTATTTACTATCAGCTGCACGTCAATTCTATAAAATTTGTTTGATTTTGAATCTTGTTCGAGTGAAGTGAGCATCGGAGTGACGGGGAAATTCAATTTTAGAAGGTCACTTTTAACGTCATCTCATACTTTATCTATCAAAATGTTGCGGTCAATTTAGTTCAACTCGCAAGTGTAGCGCTAGTGTACTACTACTCACAGCCGATTCAGATTCGAAGTTTAGAATGAAGTCTTATAGAATCACAAACCTTATAGAATACTTGTTCGTTGCATTTCCAATACAGTAAAATGGGACATATTCTTATCGAGTGCGATATCATATATCAGCTCTTTTCTTCAACTTAAATGGCGTTAATCTTAAGTAAAACAAACACGTACAAAATAAAAGTTATCTTTATACTCAGAACACATCTTGGAGACGTCATAAATACTTGAAGGTTTTTTAAATTCTGGTAACGATGCGAAAGAATGTGGTCAACGTGGAGTAAGAACGGAATATATCAAAAATCGATTGTGATGCACCGAAAATATTGATGGTTGCGAGTTTTTAGGAATGTGTAGTAAACATTTCTTTTAGAAAAGGAATATAGATGGATATCATTGAAGTCTTCTCTATATTTTTCTTAGAACATATCGAAAATGGTGATTGACATCGATTACATAAAATATTTGCATTGGTAATTAGGGAACCATTTTATCACATCCAAAATTTTATCGATCATTTTAACGAGCCTGAAGTAATATGCTATTCATTACTAGGACAAAATATTTTCTGTGTAGTAGGTATTTTAGGGAATTGTGTGAAATGCTAAGACGAGAAAGCATTTAACGTGGACCAATCATCGAACACTATCGAACTTTTTTTTTAAGATCATCAACCAATCAGGAATGTTAAAAGCTATTACCAATAATATCGAGGAAAACATCGATAGAACGATCAGATACAACAACCCGAATCGAGGAGACGGTAAATCAACATATTTGCATACATTACACTATGAATCAACACATTACAATACAATATTTGTTCGGGGCATGCGCGATGCATACGATATTAGACCCTGCCCACACTACACGTAGACCTTTTTTCTTTTGTTCGAACATGACACAATTAGGGATACCCCTATTGAATAAGCAATTCTCTTTTTGATATGTACGTATGACAGGTGTAATGTATCGTCAATTTAGGTTTTAGGACATGTACGGCATTAAACATTGCATCTCGCTTCGTGGAAGCAATTGCAAGTGATTTTATTTTACATAACAATACTCCTAAAATGTAGGTTTTTGGCAGTGGAATTTCGCTGGTGGCATCAACTTAACCTGGTTATAATAAAGGTTAGATTGAAGCTTCCATGATTCGCAATGTCTTTATAAAACTAAGCTAGTTTATAAAAATAAAGACTCATAGGAAAGAAAACGTTGACCCAAAATGTCTTATCTTAAGAGCCAAAAGCCAACACAGACGTGGCCCTATGGGGCTGATGTTCAGCCGGGGTTGCGAGTTAAGCGCAATGTGTCACCCGCGGCCCAGAGCAGGAGAAGGACCGGGGGCGTTTTTAGTTAGTAAGAGTCTGACACTCTCTCTCGCCTTACCCTGGGCGGGAGAAGTCATTGGATGATTTTCCCCTGCCAAAAAAAAATCTTGTCTTATAGGATAGATTGAATTAAAAATATATGCTATAGAGAAAGGATGTTGTTATAGAATAATGCCTGATAAATGGCTTTGATTGGACCAATTCTGAGTAATTTAGGACAAGTTTAAGAAGAAAAAGTCTTTATTTGACAAGATGATAATTAATACATACGCTTTCTCTGTCCTTATACCCTTATGTATGTTTCAATCTATTAAACTGCGCAACGGATTTTGATGTTTTTCACATTGAGTGATCGAAGAGGAAAGTTTATAATGTTTATAGCATCCATTAAAAAGAAGAGAAATTTAGTATCAGCTTTGCAACAGTGCGAAGCCGGGGCGGGTCGCTAGCATTGTAATAATTAAAGTTTGGTGAGAAACACAGATTCAATGCACTCACGCAACAACCAGAGCAATACTACCAAGAAAAAAGAAAAGTTAAATTTTAGTTACTAAGAAATTAAACACGGTTTGTTTGACTGAAGCTGTTTTACAGTCTAATAATACTGTAACAGAAATAAATATTTGCATTGATAAAGAAATGGGAATCGATACAATCGATTTTGAATTCAGATTTTTGTTAAATAATCAAATCAAAAGTGTGGGAGAGCCAAGCTTTGGAACGAATGGGTCGGCTCGACCGGAATGATACCACGGCCTCACGGTAAATCGGCGTGAACAACCACAGAGTTGTGTTTCGCCGTGTGAGTGAGGTTACTGGAGGCCCAATTCTTTCCCTCCCCCAATCCCTAAATCTCCAAATACCTAATCCCCAAACGTCGGCAACGCACTCGTAACTCCTCTGTTGCGGGTGTCCATGGGCGGCGCTGAATGCTTACCATCAGTTTGCCGACCTATTACATAAAATAAAATCGAATCGATTTTTGTTAGTAGTTGCCTGCATCTGCGAAGAATCAATGGATTTCCAGAATCTAGTCTTAATAAATTAGGCTAGATTTACTTGTTTTTGTCTAGATGTCTATTTTACCATTAATTTATTTTTTCATTACTACCTTGATTCTTTACGTGTGTCTGAAATATGTTTAATTTTAGTTCAAAGGTTGAATCTTAACTAAGCGATACGAAAGATAACTTATCAGTTTATTTATAGACGCCATAATATTGTTAACTGTTTCGTATATTTAAAATGTTAAAAATGAGGTCAAAGCTCGGAATCGTCGTCAATGAGTTTAATTTGTTTAGATACTGGGGTTTTTGTTAAAGGTAAAATTGAAGGTGTATTTTTTACAAAGGTTAACACTAAAAAAATCTTTTAAAAATAAAATTCAATATTATTTTACCAAAAACGGGAATGGAAATTCGTATTTTTTATTTCTGAAACGGGGTATGGTAATTTGGTCCCACGGTGGGCGCCAATAAGCAATTCTGAATCTACCAAGTTAATACCTGTTTTGAATGTTCTCCTTGTTCACAGGACGAGTTCCATCCGTTCATAGAGGCCCTGATGCCATTTGTAAAGTCCTTTTCGTATACTTGGTTCAATTTACAAGCGGCCAAACGGAAATATTATAAGAAACACGAAAAACGGATGAGTCTCGAGGAGGAACGCCACACTAAATATGAACTCCAGGTAAATATTATACATTATACATACTAAGAATTTCCTCAAATTTCCCAAAATCTCGCCCTTCATCCCCATATGGTAAGCAACACACTCGTAATTCCTCCGTTGTTGCGGGTGCCCAAGAGCTGCGCTGGTGGCTTACCACCAGGTAATCCGTCTGCTCGTTTAACCTATTCAAATAAAACATATTTTACCAATTCATCATCATAATCAGCCCATAGGAATCTACTGCTGAGGCGGCAAGCCGCTTTAACAACAGAATTTACAAAAATCACCAAGCTTAGCCGGTGGATTCGGATTGGTTTCACAACTTGACTGGAACAGTTTTCTACAATGTCCACTTATTCGTGATTCCTCAAGAAGCATACTTAGATACAAACTTACTTTTGTATACTAATCGCTCTAGTAACAAAGCCTACAGGCCATTTGATGGTAAATTGTCACAGTAGCTTGTGCATTAACTCAGCCAGGGTTGCTGGTGTAAGCCTAATAATGTACTTTGACCTGGATCGGAGGAGGAGAAGGATCCAGGGATGCAGGTGCAAGTACCATGATGAACTCCAGCTCGGACCAAGAGAAGACATTACGTGGTTTTTAGTCAGTAAGAGTTAGACTGTAGACTGCACGGTTGGTACGGTGGCTGGGCAACTGGTTGCCGTGCAACGTGTCGCGGGTTCAATTCCCGCACGGAACAACACTTTGTGAGATCCACAAATTGTTGTTTCGGGTCTGGGTGTCATGTGTATGTGACAGTGGGGGAACGTTTTTATAAAAACTAAAAAAAAACAACTTCCTCTCGGCACACAAGGGTCGGAAGTTATTTATTGATTTTCCCTCCATGAAAAAAAAGCCGATGTATTTTTAGAGGTTATCTAGTACAGTTTAAAAGATCCCAATCAAAAAATGTTTTCTCCTAAATTTCAAGTACCGAAGAAACAAAGTTTACTTACAAACCTACATAATTATTATATCCCAAAATAAGAAGATATTATATATTCTTGTGTTGATACAAAAATGGCTTACCTTACAGAAATACTAATTCCAGAACCCAAACTGATTACAGAATGAAAAAGCAGAGGTGAAACAAAAATGGGCGTCGCGGTTGCTAGGGAAACTCCGCAAGGACATCACGCAGGACTGCCGCGAGGACTTCGTGCTGAGCATCACGGGGAAGAGGCCAGCGGTCTGCGTGCTCTCCAACCCGGACCAGAAGGGGAAGATGAGGAGGATAGACTGCTTGCGGCAGGCTGATAAAGTAAGTTAAATTCTGAAGCCTATTCTTACCTCCGAGAAGTAGGGGAAAACGTATTTTTTGCACACGTGTTTATTTTGTTTTTATTGTGAAAATTTATAAGAACAAGGCTAAAACTCGGAAATAGAAATAGAAATAGAAATAGAAATAGAAATAGAAATAGAAATAGAAATAGAAATAGAAATAGAAATAATTTTATTTGCACAACTTGGACACGGATACAAAAGTAGATAAAAAAAAACCAGTAAAAAATTAATCAAAACAAAAATAATAATAAAAAAATATTATATAATAAAGAAATAGTTAATAATAGTCTTCTCCATTGTTTTATCATGTCCCATTTGTAATAGGATCAGCTAAATTGACAACTTAGCAACAAATGTTGAGAGAAATCAATATTCCATGAATTTTCGATCCACGTTATATATATAATACTAGTTTATTAAAGCTTTAACTATCTTCTTCCAGGTATGGCGCTTAGATCTGGTTATGGTGATACTATTCAAAGCTATTCCTCTGGAGAGCACGGATGGTGAGCGCCTAGAAAAGCACCCAGAATGCACGCAGCCAGGCCTCTGCGTGAATCCATACCACATCAACGTTTCTGTCAGGGAACTGGACCTGTATCTGGCGAACTTTATAAACAGCTATGGTAATGGGAGCGACGGTCTACCAGGTCTCTCGCTCACTTTATATGTGAACTGCCTTTTTGTCCTCTGTTCTCGTGGATGAGTTTTCATTACGTGTGTTGAAGAAGACCCTCGAGTCTTTTTAAGTCTTTTGCACATCAAAGACTGGGAAAAGACTTGTGACTAACACCATTAGTCACAATTCTCGTTTGTTTGTTTGCTACATGAATTACTGCAATTATAATGAAAGCTCATCCTAATTCGTGACTTTTAGTTGCATACAATTAGTTATTAGAAATAGAATGCATGTGTTTTGGAATTACTTTGCGTATTAACATATTAAGGGCCTTTTCACTATCTCTATATAAGTACCCGATAAAACTTTGTAGCAGATATTTTCAACAAAAAACATTTTATACTTAATCAATTTAATACATGGTGAAAATCCAGACGTTATGAAGTAGGCCCTCGAGGTTTTTGTAATAAACATGTTAAAACTAACTGTACTAATCTAAAGATGGTAGTACTGCAATGAGAAATTGCAGTTAAAAGTCAAATATTAAAAACATTTACCCATTATTTTGACAAATAAGTAAACAATACATAGTTGAAACGAGTATAGGTGTAGGAGTTGGAGGTCCATCGTCAATGAATTAAATGTTATTGATTTCATAATCTGTAAAATTGCATGACATCTCAAATTAATTCGGTATTAGGTAATGTTTAATAACGTAACAAACAAAAAACACAAAAAATTTAATATTCTACCAGACTGATGCTCAAATGCCATTTTTATTTACTTTCTATTTCCTAAGATAGTTGGTAGTTTTAGTTATTAATAGAATTGGCGTATGATATTTAGAATTAATAAATCTGCTTTGCGTTCTTGCATCTACTCTTTAATATCTGCTTTCATTATTGATGTATCCTCTGTTATATTCCAATTTTAACATATTCTAATATATCGCACTTTAGAAGAATTCGCAAGAATTTTGGTGTTAAGGGCCCTATTACCACTGTGTCGTCATTGTCGATTGTTAAGATTGGCCCATCCTTATTACTTTGTTGCTGAGCCGTATTCTTGAAAATTATAATTTAAGAGATGATTTGCCGTATGTATGGTATCTCATAGATATCTCAGATAAACGAAATCGACTCTTTTCTGCTTCAAATTATTTTCATAATAGGAAGACAGTGAAATTAAATTTTCAACACTTAATTGAATCTTTTAGCTTTATTTAGAGACATTGAAAGTTTAGAGAAATTCTACAGTTGAGTAGTATTAGTAGTAGTAGTAAAGGGACAAATTTATGATCGTTGGTGTAACTTTCGCTAATTAGTCTTATTTATAAGAACGACACATTGGTAATAGTAACCTTGGACCTAAAATTTGGAATTCTTGCTGTAGGTTCTTCAGCAGATATCCTAAAGAGAGGGTTCCTAACCATGTCGTACAATGAAGTTGGTGTGATTTCAGATATTCTTAGCGGGTCACTCTCCCCTCAGACTCCTAGGGACAAAGAGAATGAACACGAGGCTAAGAGCAAAGGTAACTCGAGAACGAGTAATGTAACGTCTTGTGACACGTGTGTTGTATGCGTTCCTTCTGCGGTTGTGGCAAACAATATGTTTTGGGTTCTATCAATATTTAAATTAAGTGTAGATTTGATTGCGTTTGGTAAGGCATTAAAGATCAAAATGTAGAGTTTTGAGATGAAGAAGATGGTTGGAAAGGAAGATATCAATTTCTTTTTCCAAAAAAAAAATATGCCAGGAGATACATGAAGTTCTCAGCCAAAGATAGAAGAATATAAGAGATAACACCATCATCTTCGTAATAGATTTGAAAATAGAATTTGTTGTTTGAACTAGATGAAGAAAAAGAAAAGATAATAAAAAAATATTGATGTTGATAAAAGTGTAAATAGTATCAATTAGATATTGGCAGGATTGAACAAAATTGGGGAGTCAATAAATTTTCAATTGGTTGCCACACTATCGAAGGAACATAAATGTGATTGGTTTGCACAAAAAGTAATTTATGTCCTTTAAATTTTTATTTATTTCATATTTTATATGCATTTGAAAACAAGAAATTTTAATACCTGCATCAAATTGGCTTGCACTTACACTTTTCATGCTTTTATTGGTATCAAAATTTTTGATAAGAATCACATTTTGGGACTGCCAGAGTAATGTTTGCTCCTTTGTTGTTTTTTGAAAATTATTTGTATGTAGTCAGTGTTCCTTCTCTTTCACTATCTTTATCTTTGTATTTATCGATATCTTTTAAAACGTCAAACTTGGTATTATTTCAATTATCTCCAATTTTAGAATTATCCTTTACACTTACATCTTCAAATCTTTTAACACCATTAAAATGATTATCATTACCAAGTTCAGCGTTTGAAGAAGATATCGTTTTGATGTTTTCTGTATAATAAGTTGCATCAACTACTTATTTGTACAGTCGAAATTGTGCTCTATCTTACGTGGTTTACAGTTTAAGATTGGTTATTTGTTACCTATCATTTCTAATTAATGTAAGAGCTTGTACATTCGTATTGCTGCAACATATCGGTTGGTTTTCTTAAGTTATAGAATAATTATAATCATTTTGATTCTTAATGTCTTTCTTTCAAAGTTTACTTTCCAATGAAGAGTAAATAACTTAAATAAATAGAATTTTGTGATAAATAACTTAAGAAAATCAACTTATTGGTAGTTACAGTGTCGTTGAATGTTTTCTATATCGTATACATGTTTGATGTTGTGGCTTTACTTACTTTAAGAAAATGAAACCTGTGATCAAAACAGGCGCTTAGGATTAAGGTATTAAAATCTATTTTATCACTGTCTTCATTTTCTTACTAAAAAAACAACTTGGTACAGGTATTTGTAGATTTAAAGGAAGGAATGGAGATAGTATAAAATAGATTTACACAGCGTTGCCTTTTAAAAAAAAAATACATTCTCTAAAAATTACCGTACTTAAGCCTTAATTTATTTTTAATTCAAAGAATTTTGCTATTAAAAGTTACGCTATAATTATAAGTATAATAATAATAAGTATCTTCAAGTAATTTTGAAAGTTGAGCGCGAAAATGGGGCAGGCTTCGTTCTTAAAAGAAAAATAAGCTCTATTATAAATATTTGCACTTACAAAAATAGAAATAAAAACTTATTTAATTTGAAAATGCGAATTGTCCTGTCTAGTGTCTATGGCTGGTGTTGATCACCTAGGTTCTAAACTTATAACGTGTTTTTGTTTTAACAAGGAATGTTAGGGTCCACTTGCCCTTTTCATATTCGCTTGGTGATATTTTTCGATGGATTTCTATATAAATATATTCGTAACCGGAGTTAGAAATATTTTTTATATATTTTTTTTTGCATTATTTTTCGAAGTCAGTTATTATTTGTTCTTGGTCAAATTCTCAAATTGGACAACCAATGCCCGGTTTCCGAAAGCCCGATCAATGTTAAAATAAGCAACTATATGTCAAACACTAGGTGTCAAATCTCTTGTCAAGTCATCTGATTGGTTATTTATAATTCAGTCAACCAATGTCTTGATAAGAGATTAAATTGATTTTAACATTGATCGGCCTTTCGGAAACCGGTTGTAAGTTGTCTATAGCAATACTTACTGAATTTGAAACATTGATAGAAAAATTCTTATCAATAAAAAAACGTCATTACTAAAAAACAGTTAAAGAATAGAAGATATATAGACATAGAAGTCCTTATGACGGTTACTCGCGTGCGTCATTAAGACCCGAATGACGTAACCTATTTTCTATGAGAGTGTCATTAAATTGTAACGTCTGAAATGGGTGATTTCAGGCTATAGTCACAATCCATACAACGGTGTAATATGCAACGATATTATTTTAGCGACCGGTGTCTTCTCGTCCAAGGAGTTGTGGAAGCTGTCTAAAGGTAACATACCTTTTTTTTTCTTTAATATTTTATCTTTGACCGTTTCAATAGTGGTGATTTGAGAGACTATAGTCAGAGAATAGGTGATGTTTGCTTAGGGTTTGGTGAATTAAGACTCTCTGTTAGACGCAGTCAAAGAATTTAATAAGTTGCTCTCATGGAGATTCAAAAACTGTTTATTGGTGTAGTTTGCCAATTGTAAACATGCATTTATAAATTTAAAGTTTGGTAGATTTTTGCAACCAATAATGTTAAAAGACAATGACAATTTCATTAATAGTAATGATGAAGTTATTTAATGACATATATAATTATGTATACATACTAAATTGCTCGTCATTATTTCGCGCCATGCATTAAAAATGTGTTCACAATATACTCACTTCTAGAGGTCAAAGAACTCCTACAAAGAAAAGAAAAATAAAAATAAGCCATTAAATAATGACTCACAAAAGATCGATTAGAAAACATTCTTATTCAAAAGCTTTAAAGTAGAATTTTATTTATGACTAACAAAATTTTATTTTCAGCATCGATTCTCCAAGAGACCGGGTCTGAGTCACCGAGCGGGTCCGGAGGCGGCATTAAGTTGGAGTCAGGGTATTATTGTGGATACAACAGTCCAGCACCACCCGCCTTTGAGCCCCCCGCTGAGAGAGCCACCCCGTCCGCTATGCTTGTAGGACAGTGCTATAGTGAGTATTCATTTTAATTCAGTATGTACTTTACTTTATACACACAAAAAAAGTAAATATATTAGGTATTGCAAACTTTTGCCCGCGATTTTTGTTATAGTGATAATAGTGACTTCCTGCAGATTTTCGCTATAAGAACTATCCTATGTATGTATTGTTGGTACAGACATAGTTTGGAACTTGAGAAAGACAGACAGACAGACTGAGTTACTTTCGCATTTATAATATTAGTTTGCATCAATATAAATAGCAATAGTTCCTTCTCCCTCTCTAGGCGCGTTCGTTCCATAAAAAATTTACCTTGGAGTGAAAATGTGGGAGATTTAGGCTTAAATTCAACGCTATAGTTGCAGGAGGTCTGGGGATCATCAAATCTAACTTTATTGGCAGGGTATTAAATACATTCGTATGGGTATAATTTAAGTAAATCATCGAAACTTTTAATATTAATTAGTATCAAATTATGTACTCATCCAAAAATTATCCCTAGGTACGATACGACAAGAATATCTTAACCCATTTAAATAATCAACAGTTAACAGGAAATTCAACAAAATAATGATTAAATCAGCAAATGATTCATTAAAAACAATCGAATTGCAATAAAAAAGTCATCGCGACAAAAACTTATGTCAATCAAAGTAAATGGTAAAGGATGCGAATCACGTGCGCGTGCGCAACTAAATATAGTGTGCGCGTATGGCACATGTATTGTTGTACCGCGGCGGCGGAGTGTGGTTATTTTCGTTGTTGTTGTGTTGGTATTTTATTTGTTTTATTTTTAGTTATAGTGGTCGTGTGTTTCTAGAATGATTATTACAGACTTGTTAGTGCTTGAAAAATTTTTGTCTTAAGAAAATATTAAAAGCTTATTACTTGTACTATATTATGTAAGTACTTATATGATAGACACGTTAAATATCATACATGCTTTTTTTTACAAATTAGCTAGAAAAATAATAATTGTAAACTGAAAATAGGCGATGAAATTGTCATTTGTTTCAAACACTTTAAAAGTTTTATCAAAAGTAATTATAGGAAAAATAAAAATTATTTATCTTTAAGGAATAAGCTCTAATGAATGATGCCTAAATTCGAAAAATACGATCAAACTTCATTTTTGCAAAGTGTGACATGTACCGCCATCTGTTGATTTAATTACCGAACTAATTTTCGAATGTGGTCACCACGAAGATTTGTTTTATTTTAATCTCATTTTTTACCGTCATATCTCTTTCTTTCTCGACAGGTATCCCCCACAGCTCAGCAGGTCTGTCTGCTCAATCCCCATTGGTACCATCGAACACAATATTCTACCAGCACGCAGCGCCGCCCACCGACACACATCCCACAAGTAAGTGAAATCGACCGCCATCTGGTTGGGCTTTATGGTAAACTAACAGGCAAGACTTGTAGTGATGGCAAAGTTGAATGCACTTTTCCACTCTTATGGTTCAAATCTTATTAGATTTCTTTTAAATAAACATAAATACTTGAATTTACGATCTCTAACCGGCATCCTAACCATGGATGCAAGACTCTTTTTCTAGTTTTAGTTGTTGAGCCCTATAAAGTCCAAAATTGTTATTTCAGTTAGTAGACCATTAAGTGCACTTTTGAACTTCAAACAAAATATAAGAAGTTAAAAAGTGTCAGTCTGTCCTCTAGTAAAGCCTTGTTCTTGTTCTTGTTCCAAAGTGCAGATTCCTGTGGGGAAGAAGATACAAGAAACTCATGATCATCTACATCCAACAACTCTTTTTCAATTAACTTCTTTTATATTACACTAATATTTAGCCAACGAATTAGAAAGTACATATACTGTCCTATAGTGGACTCCTACTGACTGCAAAGCAGCTGATGATGATTATAAACTGATGTTTAGTTCAGTTATGTTTGGAATAGGATAGGGCACTCTGGTGCCATCATTAGTCCGTCTCGGCATTTCATTCCTTTTAATGCTCTTAAGCCCAGTACCGCATTTATGACACTTTAGGTGTTGCGTGTTTCCATGGGAGACTTTAAGTTTCATTAGGTCGCTGATCGCTAACTATCAGGTGATATTCAGCAGGGGTTGCGGGGTAAGCGCTATTAGGCACCGTGGCCTCATCCTGAAGCATGAGGAGGAACGGGGTATTTTTAGTCAGTAAGGCTCTGACACTCCCTCTCGCCTCACCTAGGGCGGGAGAATCCATTTGGTGGTTTGTTTAAATGCCTTCAATTTCAATTTGGTTTTCCAGCATCTGAAGCGCTTTCCAGTCAGCATGCAAGTGGCAAGTATGACGGTGCGCCACAGGACTCCCTTGGAGACTTTGTAACCTTCGTCTGTCCTGATGCCACCGTCACAGACGTGCAGCAATTGCAGGTGAGAATATTCATTGATGTTACTAGTACCTACCTGTATGACCAAAATTAGCTTGGTATAAATTTTTGTCTTAGTTGATATTTTCTTCACGATATCCTTTACTTGCAAAATATAATCGAAATCTTTGATGCGGTTTCCTAGTCCTGTTTTCACAAAACTGTTCTCGTGTATTATAATCATACATATAATTCCAATTGTAATACGTTAGATAATGGTTTATAGTGGGTTATAAGTATTAGATGGTCTAGTGTAGCTTATTTTAATTTTTGGCAAACGTCATCCTGCCGTTACTTACAATTAAATGTTCACATATTATCTAGGCATACCAACAAAAAGAACTATTCCATAAGAGAATCCAACAGGCATTGCCCTGCAAGTCAATCTTAATGATGTCCTTTGTTTGTTTGTCCACGTAACCATTAAGTAATTAAAGATAATAATATGATGTTTATCGGTTTACAGTTTTTTATATGAATGCTTTTGTAAAACTCTGTCGAAACTTGACTAATTTTGCGTTTTTCTCCAACCAGGTGCACAGTCTTTCGAGGAGTCCAAAGCCACCGTACTTCAGCAGCTCTATGCTTCCCCCTCCTCCGCTTCCACCGATGGCCAGGCCTGTTGCCATCATCAGATCTACAGGTACTTAGAACATATTTTCATAGCCATAGTGAGCAGGAAAAAATTCTGAAAGTAAATGATGATTATATGTTGACGAATCAGGTCATACTCTATTGGTTGCGGTCGAGGCTTACTCTAAAATACGGTCCTGGCGTAAAGAAGGAGGTGGATCAGGATGGTTTTTGATCGGTGTCTGACCTTCCCGTTTGCCTAACCCAGGGTGAAAGGGTGAAACTCATCCTTATAAAAATGGTCATATTTCATTTAACTGGAAAAAGCAGCATGCTATTTTTGAAGGTTCAATCTATAAGATAGGATTTTTGCAGTCAGACTAAAGTCTTAATGATTATTGTATCATTTATTTTCAGCTAGTGAAATGGTAGGTGGTAGTGTGGTAGGTGGTGGGGGCACATCGCCGTCGTCCCCCGAGGTGCGGTCACCACCAGCATCCCCACGCCGCCGCTCGCCACACCCCTACCGCACTGACTGCCATCCACCAATATCACACTTCAACCATTTCCACTCACAACCACAACAGGTATGGTATTCTTGACAATAACTATCTTGTAACAAACTTATTTTCCTCGTATCAGTGGACTGTATGACGTTATCGTGGCTGTTCATGAATATGAGCTCCAGCGCGATTTGAAACTAGTAGAGCTGTTCTCGAATAGTTCAAACGAGTAAGCCGTTAAGCAGATAATATTTTTGAAAATTTATTATTTTTTGAAGAGGTTTTGTTCAAAGAAAAATATCAGAGTCATGATGATTCTTCAGGATTTTTTTTTTTTTTTTCTAGCCTATATTTTCCCACTGCTGGGCAAAGGCCTCCCCATCTCGCTTCCACACCTCCCGATCCTTCGACCGTGTCCACCAGTCTCGACGATAGGCGTCTAGATCGTCACGCCTTCAGTCTTCTTCAGCCAATCTTCAGGATTAATTGCCAAAAATGCTTTTTCATAGTACAACTTCTGATATTTATAGTTTATAATCGGGAATCAAATCCACGACACGTAGCATTGTGGCCAGATGCCCAGCAACTCCGCTAACCGTGCTATTAGTAGAGAGAGAGAGAGAGAGACGTTTCACAAGTGCTTATCTTTATAATTAATAATTTTAATGCTTTATAACTCCATTTCCAGGTCTTCAGCTATGCCAGTTCGCTGGGTGGCGTCGGTATAGGAGGCGGGGTCTCAGGAGTGGGGGCTGGTGGTGGCGCGGTGATGGCAGGAGCTGGTGGGGTTTCACCCCCTGGTGGACTGGGTCTTTACGCACCACGGGCCTCTGCAAGAGCCGCGCCTAGGTGGGTTTTAGAGGACTTGGGACCGATAAACAGGTCCGTATGAGGATAAAACCAGGGGTGTTTGTTAAAAACGTGGGTTTTTTGACCTTCAGTTTTGGAATGCGTTCAATCTAATTTAGTCTATAATTATAAGGAAATATGATTTATTATTTAAGTGTAATGAATTTCGGTTGCAGAGGTGGCAGAGGTGCAAAAAAACTGAAGGTCATTAAATCCTAAAATGTTGATCTCATTAGTACACCCCATAGAAGTTTATAAAACTCCTTCATTTCCATTTTAGATTAAGTCTCATTTTTATTTTTATATTTTTACATCTCTACGGACACGGGTTTGTGGCAAGCAATAGCGTCCTTGACATATAATTTTTATATTTCAATAGCTACTCTCGCGCGATTTCATCCGCTACTCAGCTCCATTTGATCGTGATGGTTTATAGCCTATAGCACTCAGGAACATTGTAGCTATCTATCAGTGAGAGAATTTTGGGAATCCGACCAGTGGTTCCAATGTTTACCTAGTTTACATACAAACTTACAAATTTTACCTCTTTATAAAATAAGTATAGATTGATATTCAGAATAATAATACTATAATATTGCGTTAAGTTTGATTATTATTTTCATTAAGTACCATATTTTTTTCATTTTATGCTTTTGGATCTATATGACTAAATCTGAGATTCTTTAGATGCGAAGTTTGCTTAACTTGCAGATGGAACGCACCATTCCCAACGCTGGAGGAGGAGTTTAACATAATGACGGCGCCACCAGGACCTGACCACGTGGTCTTGTTGGATGATGGTAAGCAAAAAGCATTTAAATTACCCGCTTATGTGATGACTGTGAAAGTATGGGGGTTAATGATTCACCGTTGATGTAATGGTTCTGTTTTCTACATTTGAGATATCAGTTTTTTTTTTATTTTGTAGGTTGAAAGTTCTTTATTATCAATGTCTTAGATTTCATCTTTTAAAATGGATTATTAGTTATTGGATTTATATTCACGTTTTAACCACACTGAAGATATAACTGTGATTGATTTAATAATATATTTTGTAATGTTATTATAGTTACTTACATATTTATTCGTATCGTCAGCCCTTTTGACTTAATTACTATCTGAGTACCAACTTATTTATGATACGTTTTCTACTTTCATGCGTACTTTTACAGAGTGCCCGTCAAGAGTGCTATTCTATGACGTAGCCATATTGTGTAAGATACTATCTTTTCTATAGTAATTTAATATAACAAGTATCTAGTCCCGCATGAAAATATTCGCTTAAAATATTTTTCTTGACGTTTACATTAATGTTATTCTATTTCGTCCTACAGAACGCTTCTTCCAGTCAAGTGTGATTACATCGGAAGCGACTGCGATGGACACGACTGGCTCAACCGTCGGTTCGGTCGTCGATGCGTCGGACGACATCGCGCCCGACAAACCGGCGCCTGACTTGCGTTCACCGTGATCCCACGCTTCCGCTACGTCGGTCGGTGTCGCAAGTGTCGGGCACGATGGATCTGTCGTATCGGTCGGCAATGTCGGCCCAGTAATTCCTGCTGAGTCTGACGCGGCCGTGTCGAGTGACGGATCCGTCGCATCGGTCGCGCCGACGGCGACCGTTCTCCGCTGGACACCCGCGCCACTCCCGCACTGGCGACCCGTCTCGCATCGGACTGTTTAATTTCTAAACGTTATCTCTGAATGTCGGGGGATTAGTGTAAATATAAAAATGGAATTAAAACGGAAGAGGTTGTAGTTGAAATTTAGATTTTACAATTTTTATTCTGTGTCGATCGGCTGCGATTCTCTATTCGTCCACGCGATGTGACTTTGTCGCGGCGTTCACACATCGAAGAGCATTGAAATACGAATTCTGACAGACGCGGTTGATCGACATGGTTTTCATTTATTACTTGTTAAGGCGATAACAAAATACAATACTCCAACGATAATTATGTAAAAAATATTAAAGCTACGAAATAAAAACAACATATTATATTCTAATATTTTTATAGAATATAAAAACAAGTATGATATGATCAAGCCTTCCAGTAATTTAGTGAAATAAAATGTTTATAAAAAGTGCAGCTTATAAAATATTGTTTTGCTGAGCTGTGAGACAGGATAAGCGAATAAAATGCTTCCAAAGGCGTCAAAACCGTTTAAATTGACGAAAGTGTGATACTATAAGTTGTTTTTTTGTTTCGTTGTTGTGTGTTTTGTAATGGAAATAAAAATTAAATAGGGTGTAAGTCGTCGGTTAGTTTAAAACATTTTTTATTTTATTTATTGAACGAATATTTAATAAAGACGAGCCTTGCTTAAGAGATTAGTTTAGTTGTAATTAGTAGCGAACAGAGTAGTTGATTTATTGTACTTTCGATATGGAAATAAATTGATGCAAAATTTGTATAAAATTAAACGAAAAAATAGCAAAAAAGATTTTCTATGTAATTTTCGCACAAAATTAAATATACTATTGATCTCAGTGACAGAATTTTACCGCGGCTAGTAAATTTTTCTTTTTTTTTGTATATTTTTTTATTTTTTTTTAAAATGTTCTGACATCGAAAGCGACAATAAATCATTAGTAGATCGACATAAGTCGAAGGACATTTTATAGGTGCCTTTCATAAAGAAAAAATAAATTAACTTAAATAATAGGGATTTGTAAATTGTAGAGTTCTTTTTGATAAATCCATCCGCTCATATTTGTAACAAAAGATTCATTGAGTATTTAAATTAAATTGTGTGTGTTTTGTAACCAAATTTTGGGAAGCGAGACCGGGGGTCAAGTATACCTAGTATGTTTTTTTTTTCAATTTTCTTTAACAATTTTAATATTGATAATGTTGAAATGTCAATTCGAAACACAGTCGTTACATTTTTTTCTTTTTAAATTTCGGAATGCATTACTGTTAATACTCAAATTTATATGTTTGACTTTGGTTACATAATGCACATGCAAATACTTATAATCCTATATACCTACTTAAATCCTAGAAATTATTTAGTTTTGTCACTCATGGATTTTTTTTTCGCAACAACAGTGGCCATACGAGGAAAGCTAGTCATTAGAGTTACAATGTAAATTTAATGTTACTTAAAATAATAAAAAAATATTTACAATTATAATAAACCCCTTACGTTTATTAGTAAGGGGTGTGAAACTAAAAAATGTGGCCAAATTACACTTAATGAATAAAATCCAAATATATATACACAATTTTTAATAGATGTAGCATTAAATAAGCGTGGTAAAATTAAGTTCGTAGCGAAGAACAATTGACTAAGATTCGAGAAAAAAAAAACAAAAAAAAATTTTTGACGCAAAAAATCCACGTCATTATGTCACAAAATATTATTATTTGTCCGTCAGGCTTTGACACACAAGTCACGTAATTACATCGACAAGTTTCCTTTGATACGACACAAATAAGAACACTGTTATTTTTTATTTGTATAACAAATAGTGTAGAGAGAAACTGTAGCAATAAAATACAAAAAGCAATAAATAAAAAATAATTATAAACAAATGAATAATGGCTTTAGTGAGGCTAGATATTGGTACTGAAACGTAGTGTGAAACATATAAACGATTCGCAAATATATTTTCTATAGACAGATTGACGAGAGGATGGGTACTATGTTAAATGATAAATATACTGCAGTTTGGTACAATTAAATAGCTATTTGACAAAAATATATTAGACTTACAGCTATAGACGAACTAGGCAGAAGGCGGGATTAGTCAATTGCTAGCTATAGAAAACATTATTAGAATATTAATAAAAAAAAAACATTAGGAAGTAATATTAACGTCATTAAGGCTTGTTGATAACAGAAAAAAAACAGTTTCGTCATTGTGAAAATCTGGAAGAGGTGACCTTGTAACGTGGTAAGGCAATATTAATAATGGTGACGAATTTAAAGCTCATTGGTGCCGAAAATTCTAGACTGTGATTCAATTGTTCATTCAGAACGTGTCTTATATTGAAATAGTTGTTTTTGTATGATTGGCAATGCACAGTGGGTGCTGTATAATACAAAATAAATGTATTGTAAAATGGCAGATAGGAACATGTTGTATGAAATGCATTTGTTATAATTGTAAAGATGGTAACAGCGGGTGTAAGCTGAGAAATGTAATTTTTTTGACAGCATACGTAGAAACGGTAGATTTATTTGATAGCTTTGCAGTAATTTATATGGGTGTGACTAATACAGGATTTTTGTATGGGAAAATAATGTAATGGTCGCAACATATACTTTTTTTGTTTCATTATTAGCACCATAAATACGATATGGAGTAATAATTGAAAGCCTAAACATTATGTGCCTTAGATACAACAATATTGTATAATATTTATGATGCGTTCTATACAACGTGCTAACTAGAAATAAATGATAAATATTATTTTGAATGCCTGGACTTTGGACGATTATCTTCATTATTAGACTTCATTTATGCAAAGGCTTGTATGTACTCCCAAAGATTATGTAACCTTCAAACGCGATTTATTGTAAGTTTAGGCCCAATGTTCGGAAAATTTGTAAGTAACCCTTCATATGTTAGTTTTTCTCCTAAAAACTATTTCCCCTTAAGTTGTCTACTTATAAAATTGTTTTTATATTGTATCTATATGAAAAATCGTAAGTAACTGGGCACCCAGCAGTCTGGAAATTGATTTCGAATCCAGAGATATAAATTATAACCCTCATGTAATATTATTGTACGATTAAGTAACGCTTCTACGCGTAGTTTCGCTGAAATATAAAGAATAATTCTATGATATTGTATAATTTTAGTACTTACCTACATTGTACCCATTTATGTACCTATATACTTTACTGGCATGTATATTCTTAATCTACGCGACTTGGAATAGCCACGCTTTTTTTTCGAAGTACCTAGACACCACTTTGATTCTCGCATGGCTTTTTGATAATAAAAAAAATACAATCCGACTTATTCTATAAACTTGTATGATAATTTCTTTTAAGTTATAACTTCTTATTATTAAAAAAAGGAACGAAAATCCGTCTTATAAGTTTCGTGGATTTCAAAATGTTGATTACATAATACGTAAATATAGAAAAGTACCTAATTATAAGGATAATTAACCAATAGAGAAATACTCCTAGTTACGAATTTCTTAGTTCATCTGACGTGCAATTATGATTAACTGTTTTTTTAGCGAATTTGTTAATTTTTATTAGTATCTAATATTACGATTGTATCCATTGTCATTGTATGTAAATATGTTCCGGAGTGTATTTATATTTTTTTTATTTGTATAATTAACATTAGATTGCGTTTATATGTTATGTTTGTCATCGTTCATGTCCGCTTTCATATTCATTTAGATTTTTACAATTTTTCTTTATTTTTTAAAATAGTAACGTGTGAGTCGAATGGCTTATCCCAACGGGAGTCAAGTTCAAACCGACAGTTGCTGCCCGAAGTTGGAATAGGTCATTAGGTTCCAGCAATAAACTAAAGATAGACTTGTAAAAATGTTATAACATGTATTTTTAACCTATACATAGTAAGATATTTATAGAATTTTAGTCGTTTAATTATTTCGAACGACTTGTTATAAAGAAAATTGGTGCTTAAAGCTTAAAACAAAATATGACGGCACTTTGTCGTGTGTGTATTGTCATGGAAGGAGTCAGAGCATTATGACATAGCATGCGTTGTTATGCTTTCGTGCGATACAGAATCGTTTATTTCGAAATTTGAAAAAAGAACCGTTTAATAACTTATGCCGCCGCTTCAAGGTTAGTGCGTGCGGTTTTCACTTACGAATGTTTTTTTTAATATTATATTTTTTCTTATTTAAAGGTTTTGTTGTTTATGTGTAATTATAGAAAAATAAACGATTTTATATCATAATGCAAGCAGTTATAATAATGTAGGTAAACTTTGCTCAATATCGATGAAAACTGAAAGTGTTACAGTTGATGCAATACAAACAAACAAACATAAATAATTGAGTTTTATTTTAATGACGATCTTTTATACCTTATGGGCTAATTTTTAATGGTTAGATTAAACTTATTTGGGGAATAATTATGATGCTGTCGCATCAGAATGTTTGTATAAGACAGTGACAGCAACAATTTTATTCCTCAGATAACATTTATCTGACTTTTGATAAAACAGCCTAAGCCTTCTAATATCCCTTTGAATTAGGAATCTTATTGTAACGTCAATATTTATAGAATACTAAGAAAGCATTCATAAAAAATATTAACATTCAACAAAGTGAATTGCAAATCAAACTACATTAACTGCTAAATAAAGTACATAATAAACGATAGCGTTTTAAAAATTACCGCCATTTGAGAATTTTGTAGAGCTAAGTATAAAAATACAGTTTTAGCATAGGTACGCACACAAGCGACACCTATGCATCCAGACTGTTACTAATTCAGTTTAATTGACGTCATAGATGGCTAAAGCTAAAACCTCTTTTCTAACGAAAAAGTGCAATGCTGGTCAATTGCTGTGATAATTGTTGTGAGGTGAGTTATATTATTGACTTTATTTTAACGTCTTAGTAAATGTTTAATATATTTTTCAATAAATTATTAGGATTTTTGATGAATTATGACGAAAACAAAATATTTTTGTAGCAAACTCCTTTATTCGCCCCAAAAAGTTTTTAATCCCAATTTATTTGTGCCTAGTTTTTCTTTTAATTTATTCGCGAGTTCCGATTTCAAATTTATAAGGAGAATTAATCTGTCAATATTCTCGTTTGAAAAGGTTTCCCGCGTCTTTACGAGTATTTTTTAAGAAATTTAGTTTGTTGTGTTTTTGAAGTTATTTTGTAGGTATGTGTTCATGGGGTTCTTAGGTAGATTTATTGTGGCATATAATAATATAAATACAAAGAATGTATAACAGATGGCCGATAGGCATAAATTAATACCCAGTATCCGTAAGCACAACGCAAATTTGTGAAAAAGTCCAACCTGATAAAGGTTTACTACTAACTCTAGTCATTGTCATCAACAGTCTTACAGCTGGTGTGTGACAATGATGAGTTATTTATTGTTTTTTTATTAAGAATCATTGAATCACTTTTCCCGCCCTATGGAGCGGAGAGGGCGAGTGTCAGGCTAGCTGACTAAAAACCACACCAATTCTACTCCTGCTCCAGGCTCGGGCCGCGGACATTGTTGCTCATGCTGGGTGCAAGGCCATAAAGCTCTTAAACTCGCTCTTTTCTATAATATAAAAATGAAACGCAAAATGAGTTGGTAAGCGCATAACTCAAAAACGCCTGGACCAATTTTGCTAATTCTTTTTTTGTTGTATTTGTTATTGTCAGGAGAAGGTTCTTATCAAAGAAAATATTAGAAAAGTGGAGGGGAGAGTTGGGTAATAGGGACACCTTCATCGTAAGCGAGACGATGATACCCGTGCGAAGCAGGGCCGAGCTGCTAGTTATTAATATTAAAATGTATGACAGTTGTACTGGGCGCTCAAAAGAAAGAAAAAGAGTTCTAAGAGCCCGCATATCCCGAGGATAGCCTGATGGCGTTGCCAGATGAGTTACAAGTGCTTTTCCAGTCTTTTGGAGGTTGTTAGGAATTTGACGACTGGGGATTGCGGGATAAGGGTGGTAACCTCTGATAACTTTACTTACACGACGTTACACAAGGCAAGCGGTCGAGCCGGCCCATTCTCATTCCTTGTTCAACCAATAGAGCTGAAATTTTGTATAGATACACGTTTAGTTTGCAAGACCATAAATGCTAAAATAAGTGTGGGAGAGCCAAGCTTTGGCACAAATGGGTCGGCTCGACCGGACTGATACCACAGCATCACATAAAACTAACTAACTAACATAAAACCACAGGGTTCTGTATCGCCGTGTGAGTGAGGTTACCGGAGGCCCAATTCGTACCCCTCGTCTATCCTTTACCAAACATAAGGCCGGCAATGCTCTTGAAACTCATTGGGTGTTGCGGGTGTCCATGGGCGGCGCCGGTTGACCTTTTAGGGATTAGGGATTTGGAGATTTTGGGAAAGGGAACGGATTGGGGTAGGGGAAAGATTGGGCCTCCGGTAACCTCTCTCAAACGGCGAAACACAACTCTTAGGTTATTTCACGCCGGTTTTCTGTGAGGCCGTGTTATCACTCCGGTCGAGCCGACCCATTCGTGCCGAAGCATGGCTCTCCATCACTTCGAGTATTTAGTTTTAGGGCTTATAAGCTTTTTTTATAAAGGTTCTTCTGAACCAGATTTCAATTTATACATTACTTTGGAGGCAAACAAGTAGACAGATTACCTGATGATCAATTGGGTAGTTTCCTAGGTCAAAAATAAATTAATTCAATGTTTCAATACAATAAAATATTGAAAAATAACCATACTTTTATTCATCGATCGACTGATACACCAAGTTTTAGATTTTTTTTAGCTAATTATTGTGAAATAAGTAAGCTATTTGACGCAAAAATGTTATGACGTCATAGCTCAGTGTTTCATACAAATAGAAAAGTATCGTTTTTGACATTTGGATAAAAGTATTGAATTTGACTAGTTGGAAACTACCGTATTACCAGCACGGACCATAGACACATAAGTTACAAGTGTGTGACCTTAAAATGTCCTCTATTCAGCCACAAACAAGCCTTCCATATTAGGATCCATGACATCAAATTAGCAATATCGTAAAAGAAAATACCAAATCAAAATTGAAGTCCTAGGTCAGGCAAAGACCGATCGGAATACCGAGACCTCTGCGCGACAATCACATTTTGCAACCTCTTAACTTAGGAGATGTATTTAATTTTTAATACTTCCCTACTTATATTTGTAATATAAACCTATAGGACCTATTAGAAAACAGTTCAATCTCGATCTCTTATGATGGGTAAGGGTAACTCGCCGACCAGAACCAGCCGAGCCGTACTAGTATGGCGCGTAGCGTTCCGCGCGCGCCTCATAGAGCCAAAAGTTCATCAAAGATGAGTCTGAATAGGCCTGACTTTCAGAAGGGGGTGCGGGAGAAGCGCAATAAGCAATAATAATAATGTACCACGGCTTTAGCCTGAAACAGAAGAAATAATGTGGTGGTTTTTAAATAGTATCTACAAGTCTGACGCTTCTTTTCGCACAACCTGGGCGGCAGAAGTCCGAGATGAGGAGGAAAGCATTGGATCTCCGGCAATCTCACTCACACAACTCAAGCATAGTTTCACGCCGGTCGTCTGTTAGGCCGAAGTCTGGCTCTCCCGAATTCAATTGATTCGCAATTGATATAAAAGGTTTTACAGTAGTATTGCAACTGGTTTTGAACAGTAGCAGAGAAACTTACGGAATGTATATTACTACATAGTTTAAAACAAAGTCGCTTTCTCTGTCCCTATATCCCTATATGTATCTTTAAATCTTTAAAACTATGCAACGGATTTTGATGCGATTTTTTTAATAGATTCAGTGATTAAAGGTTTGAATGTAGAATAAAATCCATTAAATAGTTGGGAAATTTAGTATCAGAATTGCACATTTGCGAAGCCGGGGTGTATCGTTATATTATTTATAAAAAACTACGGATTATACCACATTGTACAGCCTATCCAAAAAATGACTTTAGGTTTTTTCACCAGTGTCGTGGGTGAGTTTACAAACATACGATTTCGAATACACATCATACCTAGACCCTCACCAACAATTTTTGGATTAGATTTGTTTCGTGCAGGAATCGAATCAGCGGCACGTCACACGACAGCCGGTTGCCAAGCCACCGCGTTGACCAAGCACCTTATTACTTACTCATAGTCAGAATATAAATTATAATTTTTAATTAACACTCTTTACTCTATGGTTGAATAATGGTGTTAATACTACTATTTACCACACTAACTTGTAGATATAAAGAACGTAATTTGTATGAACGATGTGCCACATAAGTCTATCATGAACTGGAATTTACTGTTTTATTTTATACTAGCTACTCTTGCGCGGTTTCACCCGCTGCTCAGCTCTATTTGATCTTAGCGTGATACTTTATAGCATATAGCACTCAGGAACATTGTAGCTATCTATCAGTGAAAGAATTTTGGCAATCCGACCCGCGGTTTCATAGATTACCCCCTACATACAAACTTACAAATTTTACTTTTTTATAATATTAGTATAGATTTAAAAAAACGTTGCCCCTCACTAGTATTTTCTCCTGTGTCGTGGGTGCGGTTACAAACGCACAATTTCATATACACTTGACACCCAGACCCGTAACAACAATTTATGGATTACACACAAAGTGGTTCCGTGCGGGAATCGAACCCGCTCGTTACACTTTGTACTTTGCAACTGTGCCGTTGTGATTCACACAATCATGTCACAGTCCCTTATATCATGAGTGTGCTGATACATGCCCTAAGTAATTCTTCATAAAAAGCGTGTATATACAAAAATTTTGAGAAGTAAGTACTCTTATTTAGTGTCAGATAAAATAAACAGATATCTCCTGCTACCGGCTTCGCCCGCAGTAGGTACCTGGGTAAAAAAAAACTACGTGCAATTTCAGAATGTAATCTATCTCTGTGCCATGCAAATGTCAATAAAATCCGCCTAGAAGTACTTATTTACGTGAAAGAGTAACAAATATAGATGCATCCATACTTGCAGACTTTCGCGTTTCGTATTCTTAATGATATTTAGATATATTTTTAATATACGTAACTACCTACCTTTTAATAATTATATTTTTTACGAATTTCTTTCTTAGCATTTATCAAATTTCCCTAACACTACACTCTTGGATTATAGGCATTCGTCACATAAGAGTTTTTCTTTAATCTCCATGCTTGGCAAGACAGTTTGGAGATTGCAGCTCAAAAGATACAGGTTCATCAGAGTGTTGCCTGGTCTCGGGTAGGTAAATGTTGAGTACCTTAATCGGCTCCTATTATTACCCGCGGGAATAGTAGGGATGGTTACAAAATGAATTGTATTCTTCCTTAA